AAGGACCTTTATTCAGCTAATGCTCTAAAAAGCTATATAGAAGAAGGGAAAAAATAACCTATAAGGCCCAAGAACCTGTGCAAGATAGGGGTGTCAATATTTGACATGACCCGAAAACCCGACTTGAACCTGACACGGAAAATTTGGGTTCGGGTTAGAGTTTTCGACCAGTTTTAAAAATCGGGTCGGATTCGGGTTGACCCGGAAACCCAAAAATGACATGGTTCGACTCGCTGACCGTGTTGCCCCACTAAGCTGACCGCCTAGCGCCTGCCCTCCCCCGCGTGATCGAGCTGCCCCATTGTGCTGCCCCACTGACTCACCTCCCCCCCTGCGTGACCGATGCCCACTGTCGCTTCGCGTCATTTCTACTGGCCCCGCGTCGCATCCCGCCGCGTGAATCGTGATCACGTCGCATCCGACTACCGCTGGATGCCGGACGTCGCTGACGCCGGACGCCGGACACTGCTGCCGCGCTGAAGGCTTGCCGAAGGCCCGCCGATGCCACGAAGCTGTTCCTGGCCTTGCCGTGTCCGCGGGTCGAGTCGGATTGACCCGAACCCGAAGCGGGTCAAGTTCGGGTCCGGTAAATCGACTTGTTTGTAAAAACGGGTCAGGTTCGGGTTGACACGAATAGTGTTGGGTCATTTCCGGGTTCGGCCCGAAATTAACACCACTAGTGCAAGATACCAAAGTAGAGAGGGAGCAGCACCCCCACACCAGAAGGCCACAAACCAGCCACATGAACAACAAAAGGAAGTGAAGTGCAAGTTGACCATGCAACATGCCAGACAGAGATCACCACCACAAACCACCCCAACCACAAATAGAAGTTGAAAATTATTTTTTTTTTCTCTGACTTCGCTTACCAACTACAATGTAAAAGGCTTCATCATCAATTCGAGCAACATTCAAGCCATAAAGATCCTAAAAATCCTCTCTAGGTTCTTCGTTTTTCTCCCCCACATCCCAATTAGCTGATGAGTCACAATCTGCTAATCAATCAAATTGAACCACACAATTATGCTTCGGTTATGATGATAAGTGAGCAAGCAAAGCATCCTTAGAAATAATCAAAATGGGAACATCTATAAGAGGAATATTATCATTCATATCCACTCTATTTGATAGCATTGATAGATCATTAGGATCCAAGGAATTATCATTTTCCATAGAAGGTTCAAGCACATCCACCTGATTAACTTTACATTCCAGCACAACCAGATCAATTACAATTTCTTTATCAATAGAATGGTTCTGAACTAAGGGGTAACAATCAATTTCCGACAATGCAAAAGCATTAGCAATTCCCTGCCACCCCAAACCAACATCAATATAGGGCCTAATCCCCTTGTTTTCACAAACTAATGCTCATCAGAAATCACAATATGAGAAATAATTAACTTATTGGAGATCAGAGTAGTAGCAGGAATAACATCCAAGACATTCATATTGCCCTCATTAGCCAAATTAACAACATCATCAGATGGGTTAACCACATCACCAACATTAAACAATGAATGATTCTTAAAATTATCCATGATAGTGTTATTAGGAACAACAGTAGAACACCCCTTCGAAACAAGCTTAGTGATGGCTATATGAACATTAGTAACCGGCTCAGGTATATTAACAAGAACGTCATTTAAGTGGGGATGCAAAACACAACAATCAACTTTGGATTGGCCAAAGATTTGCTTCAAGTGTTTGATTTGATCTCATTTAGACTCAGGTTAGGGCACTTTTGATATCATTGGTTCATCTTATCGAGATGCTTAGTATGACAATAATTTTTTATTGAAATTGAAGTTAAAATGATTTTGAATTTAATCTAAAAAAATTGAAATAATTTTTTTTTTCCTTGAGATCCTTACTGATGATGCCAATTTTTTTTATAGCTATATCAATTCTGGTAATTATTTTATTAAAACTTTGATTTCCTACCTCAAATTTGCTCTTAATATTATTGTTTATGACATTGTGCATTTCGATCTCCAATCTAATGTCCTAAATGTTTGCTGCCACTAGCTCGTCGGCCATCCGAAATTGCTAGAGGGTACAAACTGGCTTGAGCGATCAACCCATCAAAAGTTGTTATCTAATAAATATTTTGCATAACGACCAAAAGAGCTCAATCTCAAGACATTGGTAATAAATTTTAGTTCCTTTGGCCATATTTTCATTGATAACTTGACCTAATCAATATTGACATGCTAGTTGTGCTTTGAGCAGCTATTATCTTTGTCACAATAATAGCAATGTTGGATTTATATTATTTAAGTTTAGTTTGCGACAACTTTCTTATTATTTTTTAAAAGCAATATTTTAGTACAAAAATTTTGAGCTCAAAAAATATTTGAACTAAAAATTTATTTTAAAAAATAATAAAAAAATTATTCCAAAGAAAACCTTAAACAACTATAAAAAACAATGACATTGCTTATCATGTTTCCTGTCAATCATCATATTTATTTACAATGGATCTGCCACTTACACTACCATCTCAAGACTAATTGACATTCTAAAATGTGGCAAAGATAGCACCACATTAAGGCTTCGTTTGGGACGACTTTCATGCTGCTTCTTAAAGCAGCTTTTTAGTACAAAAATTTTAATTTTTATACTAAATAGCAGCTTTAAAAAACAATAAGAAAGTCGTTCCAAATGTGGATAGGGAGACTATTAATTGTATGAATAATTTTGTCCCTAATCCTATTGTTTCTCCTAATGTGCATGTGGATGCTGCTGATGGGGGCTGTGAAGTTTTGAGTCCTTTGGTTGGTGTTGGTGTGCTTATTGCGATAGGGAATACTTTTAATTTCTCTGATATGGCAACTATTTCTGTGGATTCTCCTGACACTTTGTTAGAATCTTCAAACAAGCATTTTTTTTTATGTCTCTATTTCGTTTATTTCAAATGATATTCTGAAAGCTTAATTGACAATTAATTCAGTCTTTCTCCTCACACTGCAGGGGTGTTGCGGAAGATTTTTTTGGACCAAATGAAGATGCTCAGTCAATATGCAATCAGAATGTCAACCGCATTGTTGAAAAAGCTTTTAGCCTGGGTGGAGGCAAATATCGTAGAAGGAAGACTAAAAGGAATTAGTTTCTTCTTTTTTCTTTTAGCTTGGGTTTTAGTTTTCCTCTTGGTTGTGGGTTCACTGTGGTCTGGCCGGTTTTGTTGGGTGGACTTGTTGTGATGCTAGTGCTTGGCTTGGGGGCTTCCTTATATGGTTTGACTCTCTTTTGTCTTTTTTGCAAGTTCATCTATGATGGTCTGTTGCTTATCGTGGAACCTTTGTTTTTTGCTTGGTCGTCTTGGCCTTTGATCACTATTGGCCTTTATTTTCCTTTTATGTTGATGTTTCTTCTCTTTGTTTTGTTTTTTGGCTTTTGTTTTCTCTTGTAATAGATTGGATCGACGGCTAGTAGATTTTGCTTCAAATGATGTATTTTTAGAGGGTTGTTGATTCACTAAGCACTTGTAACCTTCTTTTTATTTAATGTGTGAGCCCCATTGTGAGGGTTTTAATTAAAAAAAAAAAAAGGCCAATCCAAACAAAGCCTAAGTATGGAGCTGCCCAAAAATACTATTATTGTACTCTTTGTTGCTTGTACAATCAACACATGTGAGGGCTAATTTTGATTAATTCACTTTTCAATGCCAAAGAGGAAAAGTTTGTATTAAAAGCCCTTCAACTTTTGAGAGTTGAATATTTCTATCACTAGTGGATATTCATAATTTTCTCTCTTTTAAAATTTTTTCAATGTAAAAAATCTTCACTCCCTTTTGTGGTGTGACTTTTAGAATTTCTCAACTAAGTTAATATGAGACCATGATGTGAAATTTCTTAAGTAAAATGAAAATAAACTCTTAAACATTCATATGAATTTTAATGCAATTGTAGCAATTTTATTGAGAAACTTCAAAGTTAAGCATACTCGTGCGGGAACAATTTTGGAACCACCTAAGAAGTTACACTAACGAGTTAAAATCGTGAGCCCATTAAGCCAAATCGAACAATACTTCAATAGTTAAAAGTTTGTAATCTTACAATGCCATTTTAAAAAATTATGAAAATTTCTTCTTATAGATAATGTTTTCATTTTTATAAATTAAAGACAGTCGATGTTTACAAGACTACAAAAATAGTTTTTTTTTTTTAATTAATGCACCAAATCAAAGTTAGCAACAAGAGGTCATTTTCATATGAAAAAACACAAAAAATCTAAAACTCCAAATTCCAAAATGAATAAACCTTCTTGTTTTTCTCCCAAGGACAACCAAGTCTTCTTACATTTTTATAATATCACCCAGATTTTGGTAGCACAATAAAATCATCAATTTTTATCTTCAATAATTTATTTAATTAGTAATCATTTAATTACATTCTTATTCAAATATATGAACTTATTAGTTTATTTTTTATATTTTCAATATTTATTTTATAAATAGCCAAAGTTTTGATGACAAACACAGGAATCTCCCTTTTTATTTTCCTCAGAATTTTAAAATTGCACAAGTTGTCTTTCTTTATCTGTTCAAGCAAAATGTCCTTTCTTTCTTATTTCCTGGTATGGCAATTGATAAACTCCATAGAAAAGCTCTAATAAACATTTATTATGTAATCCTTCTAACGGGTAAGAAGTCACAATTCTTACTACTAATCAACAGAGGGCTGAACAAGTCATGAAGAGATCAGGTCTTCCTTTATTTTCAAATCCAGCGGCGAGCTATTGACATCAACGCCAAACGCCAAACAAGTATTTAAATAAGAACTATTCAACGTTCGTCGCCTCTTCTTGCTCAAAAATAACATATTCTGACTAAATTTACAAGTTTTACTCGTCCAGAGGCTATAAAAAAAACAATTTTTTTCCCTTGGAAACTTTCTTACATAGCTAAGCTTCCACCTCAGGGAGGCTCTTCAAGGCCATTATTTAGAGCACTCTTCATTCCTAAAATAAGCATCTTCAAGCTTTCTCCTACGCATAAGATGAAGAAATTCCTCATCATACTTGTTCTCCTTCTGGCCCTCTGTTGCTCGGCGGCTATCAGTCATTCTCCTGTCCTCAGCTCATGTTCCAGTTCGAGAAACTACAGCTCTGGTGATCAATTTTCAACCAGCTTGAGCAAACTAATGCGCCTTCTTCTCCATGAAGCTCCAACTATTGGCTTCGGTTTAAGGTCAATTGGCCATGGCGAAGGCCGGGTTTTCGGCCTCGCCATGTGCAGGGGAGACATACCTAGCTCTGCCTGCACAGCCTGCATACACGAAGCTAATGATCATATCATTCACCATTGCCCCTCCAAGAAGGAAGCAAAGATATGGCTTGATCATTGTCTTGTTCGCTATGCCGACCGCGAATTCTTTGGAGAAATCGATGATAGTCAAAAAATTTATGTTACAGACAACAGAACTGTGTCAGAGAAATCGGTTTTGGACACCAAGGTTGAAGAACTAATGAAGAAGTTGGTGAAGACGGCTTATCTCACACCATTGTTGTTTGCTACTGGAGAGATGCAGCTTGGTGGAATGGGAGAATTGTTTGGATTGGTGCAGTGTACAAAGGATTTGTCAGGTGGGGATTGTAAAAGATGTTTGAATGCGGCCATTGCTAAGCTTCCAAGCTACTGTCATGGTGTGAGAGGAGGAATTCTGTTTGGTGGAAGTTGTAATCTTAGATATGAGCTTTATCCTTTCTATGATTCTAGCTAAGTTTATTACTTCCTTTCAAAGCCAAGCATGCTCTTAGTCAGTTTTTGTATGTATGATGTTTTGTTTACAGGAAATTGATTACTGAATTCTCTTAAATCTTAAATTTTAATCTTATGATGAAACAAAATGTTGTTGTGGCATTAAACAAAGTTCAAAAAGCTGAATGGGTGCTGAAGAAAAAAATGCTAAATGGCAGAAGTCGGGTTGAAAGTTCCAGCTTTGAGCTACAATGATGGAATTTCTTTCTTTACTGACTATGAATTAGTAAGTGGAATTGCAAATGAAGCCAGTACAGAGATAATTGAAAGAATTAGCAAGTGGAAGGGGTTTCTAGAAACCAGAATATGAATACCTACTGAGTATCACATGGCCAATCAGGGACCTAAAATGATAAAAATACATCATGATATAATATCATTCATGTCTGTTGGATCTAGAGTACAAATAACTGGCAAATATGAATTAGGAAGATTTTCTGTTGAGCTTGTTTTTTATGTAAACTTCTTGGCATATATATGGATTACTTAAAATTTTTTGGCTAACTCAATTTGATTATAAAAATATCAATTGAGTTTGAGTCCAAATTTTACAAATTGATTTGATCTAATCAACTTTAATCACCATAAAGTAAGGTGAATTGAGTCGATTAGGCTTCATTTAGGATAACTTCCTTACTGCTTCATAAAATAATTTTTTAGCATAAAAATTTTTTGAACTAGAAATTTTTCTAATAGAAAATAGCTTCAGAAAATAACAAGAAGCTATCTCAAACAAAGCCTCATGTTGAATAATAAATTAGGGCTTCGTTTGAGATTCGAGAGTTTTTCGCCAATTTTCTTACACGAATTTTATTGGGCAAAACTACAAGCAATTTTAGGTGACTCGAACGTTTCGAAAGCAGCGGTGAAGCTTGTTTTGTGATCGGACGTTGTTTGGGTAGCATCGCTCATCAATTTTGGTTGTTGGCCGCCAATATTTCGCCTTTATTTACCATTCTCGCTCGATTCAACTATGAGTTGGTCCCTCTTAGACAAATTTGACACTCTGATCATAGCGGTGTAGTCTGTTTGGCGATCAGAAATCATTTAACTATTCAAGTGATATGTCGCGCCTGTCAACTATCACTCGAGTCGCCGATTCCAATCCCTTTGCTCTCGCTGGCTTAGCATATGTGTGGGGGTAAACAATTATGAATACAATCTTTTAAGGATTTAAATTTTATATTCAAATACAAAAAAATAAATTAAATTAAACAAAAAGGCAATTATTTTATATAAAACATGTACAACTTATTTAGGGCTTAAGTTAAAAAAAAATATGTTTTATTGTGTCCTGGAATATTCACGACGATAGAGAAATATAAACTTTGACATCTTAGCTTTGGTTGAAGATCCAACACATAATCAGACAAAAGAGAGGGGTGTAGCATCATAAGAGACACTAGAATTTTTGCGTGGAAACCCCGAAAAGGGGAAAAAATCATGAGGCTTGGCCCAACTTGAATGAATACACTAGTGTTTGCTGTCTATTACAAATGATGCCCTTCCTTGGAGTGAAGGCATTTGCTTGATGTAGCAAATATACATCATATAGAGTGCATTACATGGTTGGAATTGGAAGAATTTGTATTGACATGTTCGTTTAATCAGCAGGACGACGAAGGATAGAAAGATCGTAGTCGGCTGATGGTGATCATATCTGAAGGAACATAGTCGGCGAAAAATTGAGGTCGAAAAGTCCGTTGTCAGGTGATGGAGGTTGGAATGACTATAATCGGTGATTGATGAATGTTAGAAAGATCATTATCAAACGACGAAGGTTGGAAGGATCATAGTCGGTGGGTAATGGAGGTCGGAAAGACAGTAGTCTGGCGATGAAGTTTGGAAGGACATTTGTCGACAATAGAGGTCAGAAGGATCGTTATCTAGCGATGGAGGTTTTAACAGCCCACAATACTCCTTAATAGTATTGTAAAGTGTAACATACATAACATAATATTTTTCCATTCTCAATACATTTAAATACAATTGCTCACATTGAAAATTCATATAAAACATAAATCCATAATACAATCGACATATCAACGGAAACAACTAATCATTTTTAAAATTTTAATAAACATACTTACAGAGCCACTAAGGAAATCTAAATGAAATACATCTCTTAATTATTTTCATACCTCATAAGTAGTTTATACTCGCTAACAAAAATAATTTTAACATGAAAAGAAGAAACACTTGCATAAATTAATCTGCATCAATTTTCTCCTTTTCATTTCCTATAATAACAGCTAGTAAGAAAATATTGGTGAGCTGTGAGACTTAGTAAATTATGCTAAATACATAACAATTATAATATGATATTATAAAGAATTATGACATTGAACTAATCAATAAATTAACTTACCACTAATTGCAAAGTATCATAAAATCATATTGGCATCATCCATAGGGTTAATTGAGGTAGCTACTGAATATTTAATCTTTTAAAATATTTGGTCATATTTCCTTAAACATATTCAATGGAGCCTAGGTGGACCTAGCATTAAAATCATTGTATGGTGATGGAGGTTGGAAGGACTGTAGTTGACATGCGAAGAAGGTTGATAAGATAGTTATCTAGCGTGGAAGGTCGGAATGACCATAGTCTGATAAAGAAGGTTAGAAAGATCGTAGTCTAAAGACAAATGTCAGAAGGATCGTAGTCGGCAGGCGATGAATGTCAAAAAGATTGTAGTCAGATGACAATTATCAGGAGGAAGTCCAATGATAATCGGTGGTTGGACGTAAGTCCAACATTATTTTGTGGCTGGGCAGAAGTGTGGCGATGGTCGGTGTTCATGCATTAATCTGGGAATAGTTGGTGGTCGGGCAAAAGTCCGGTGATAGATGGTGACTAGGCCTAAATCTAAAAATAGTTAGTGGCTAGGAGGAAGTCCGACGACAATCGGTGGTCGAGAGTAAGTTTGGAAAAAGTTAATGGCCGAGCGGTGGCCGAATAGGAGCTTGGTAGCAAGAGAGATCTCGTATTTCTCTTCCTCTCCTCCTTTCTCTTCCTTGCTCCTCTGTTTCCTTCTTGCTTCCTCCTCCTTCAATAAAGAATGATGGTTTATTTATAGTTTTTTTGGAGTGACATAACCTGTAAATAGGGAGGAGATCAAGGGCATGTTGGGAGTGTTTTGAATGGACAATTGATATCAACTCCTTTGATCATGGACCATTTATTGAGTATTTGATGTCCTTAATGATGTCAGAATTCGACGATCATGAGCTCGTTGGATTGTCTCGTCGAGCCGCTCAATTCGAATATAAGCATGTCACGTTTGGAAACCATTTGGTCATCCAATTTATGATTTGAACCTTCCAAATGTTGTTTCGGTCTTCCATTTGGACCCATTTGGGCTCAGATTGCTTCGAATTTGTTGTCAATAGGTTCATCTTTTTGAGATGTTCAGTTCAACTATAAGTTTGCATAAATCAAAGTTCGGATGGTCCCAAATTTAATTTTGAAAGTTTTCAAATTAATTTTTCTCTGAGATTTGTGCCCGATCAAGATAAATTTATGTTGATATATCATGTTTAAAATACTCATTGTGGTTCTTCGTGTGCAATCCAATGTTTGATTAATTCTCTTATCCAAAATGTGCTAATTCGAATCAGCATCAATCATAGATCTTAGTTGATGCATATAGATACATAACTATATGAGTTTCACAATTAGAAATAAAGGCCCTTCATAATAAGGAATGGATATTTATTAGAAATTTGCATGGGCATACCTTCATTAACGGACAACTTAGCATAAGTGGCTTAGACTTCATTTGGGACGGCTTTTTTATTGCTTTCTAAAACGGAGTTTTAGTACAATTTTTTTTTTTATTTTTGAACTAAAACTCCGTTTTAGAAACCAATAAAAAAATCGTCCCAAACGAAGCCTTAGTTAAACCGCTTTTACCGAATTGAAAACAACCAAGCTTATCTTGTATATGCATAAAGATCAAATCTACATGATTTTAAAAACGCTCAAGTATATTCATGTAAGATTGTAAGGCTAAGGCTTTGTCTGTGATAGTTTTAGACTATTATTTTTCTCCTATTTTTAAGAGATTTTTTAACTAAAAACAACTTTACAAAGTAGTAAGAAAACTGTCTACAATTTTTTTTTTTATTTTTGAACTAAAACTCCGTTTTAGAAACCAATAAAAAAATCGTCCCAAACGAAGCCTTAGTTAAACCGCTTTTACCGAATTGAAAACAACCAAGCTTATCTTGTATATGCATAAAGATCAAATCTACATGATTTTAAAAACGCTCAAGTATATTCATGTAAGATTGTAAGGCTAAGGCTTTGTCTGGGATAGTTTTAGACTATTATTTTCCCCCTATTTTTAAGAGATTTTTTAACTAAAAACAACTTTACAAAGCAGTAAGTAAGCTGACTAAAACGAAACCTAAATATCAGACTTGTCTAGCATTTGGTGAGATTCCAAGTGTAAGTCTCAAGTATTTGTTAGACTTAAATTCTAGTTAATATCTCATTAGAGGTTCTCACTTTAGTTGTAGGATTTGAGGTTGATTTCTTTATAGTTACATGGTAAATTCTCTTTCATTTGCATTTTCTCAATCTTATATTAATAAAATATAAGACATAAAATTCTAAATCAAACTGATCAACTTAAGCATGAAATCAATTTTAAAATATAAATTTAAATCTTTGAAAACCTCATAGTACTTTTAAGTTTCTCAAAATGTAGTGCTCATATTCTTCCTCATTTAACTTCCTTACAAAAACCAATCACTTAATTCAATCATTCTTAAAATTATAAATCCTATATCACTACTATAAACTCTAAAATTATAAGAATGCAAGTCATTCCTTTAATAGAGATTTTTTTTCCAAAAACCAAATATCATTAGAATTTAATTAATTATAAGAATTTATCTTTATAAGAAACTTTTACTCTAATAAAATAAATCCTATTCAACTCAAATATTTCAACTAGTAAAAAATCTTTGAGAATATAAATTAAGGCTTTATTTGAGACAGCTTTCTTATTTTTTTCTAAGACTTCACTTGGGAGAGCTTTTTTATAGCTTTTCAGTATAAAAGATTTCATTTTTTTTTTTTGACACAGCTACTTTAAGAAACAGTAAGAAAACTGTCCCAAATGAAGTCTAAATTAAACAACTTTTTAATAAAATTTTTGTTTTAAAAAAAATTGTGGACTAAGAAGCTACTTTATAAAACAATATGAAAACTATTTAAAATGAAACCTAAATTTAATTTACAAATTCTTTTTTTATCTCTGAGCTCTTCGTAGAATAATATTTTTATCTTTTAAAATAATATATTATTCTCATTACTTAGTTGATTAAAAAATAAATTTCATAATTTATAATCAAAATTCCTCACAAAACTCACTTTCTGAATTTTGATCTCAGTGCCTATCGCTGAATTTGATCAAACGTCACACATAAATGGAAAAGACATCCTTAAGCTTTGAGCACAAATCTGAACATAACAAGTACTGAATACCCACCTCTGTAGATTCGATATAACAACATGAGCAACAGCCAGAGGGAAAAAACTATAACATGGAAAAATTGTTTCTCACTTTGGACTTTTTATTGTGTGCGAATATTGGACGGAAACAATCATTCGAATTTCTCTTTATCTATAATCAAAACATAGTCAAAGCGTAGCTGCTACAGTAACTATGCTTTGACTGTAGATAGAGAGAAAACCGGACGGTTCTCTCCCTTTCGGTGTCCGTACGCAATAATCTCTCCTCACTTTAAGGTTTCATTTGGGATAACTTTCTTACTATTTTTTAAAATAATTTTTAATAAAATTATTTTAGTTCAAAAAAAAATTGTACTTAAAAGCTGCTTGAAAAAGTAGTAAGAAAATTATCTCAAATCAAATCTAAGACTTCCTAATTTGAAAATAATCAATATAATAGAGTAAAGGTTTCAGAAAACTCATATTTACACCAAGAAAGAAAAGGACAGAAATGAAAAGAAGAAAATTACACAGCTCATCTTGGCCTGTTGGTTGGGAGCTTAAGCTGCCAACTAAGTGATATTGAATTCAAATCTTATATATGTAATATGTATGTGAGCATGTCTTAACTAACGCAAATGTCAAAAATAAAAATAAAAATAAGCAGAAAATTGAACTAACAGTTAATAATCGAATAACCACTCATAGCTTACATTTACAAATATAGGTATCCACCAACATTTGTCATTCAAACTGCAAATTAAGCATGGTCCACTCTATTCATAATTCATTATTTCTTTGTACTGATACCTTTGCCTCTAATAATAGAAACTTTTACTCTAATAAAATAAATCCTATTCAACTCAAATATTTCAACTAGTAAAAAATCTTTGAGAATATAAATTAAGGCTTTATTTGAGACAGCTTTTTTATTTTTTTCTAAGACTTCATTTGGGAGAGCTTTTTTATAGCTTTTCAGTATAAAAGATTTCATTTTTTTTTTTTGACACAGCTACTTTAAGAAACAGTAAGAAAACTGTCCCAAATGAAGTCTAAATTAAACAACTTTTTAATAAAATTTTTGTTTTAAAAAAAATTGTGGACTAAGAAGCTACTTTATAAAACAATATGAAAACTATTTAAAATGAAACCTAAATTTAATTTACAAATTCTATTTTTATCTCTGAGCTCTTCGTAGAATAATATTTTTATCTTTTAAAATAATATATTATTCTCAATACTTAGTTGATTAAAAAATAAATTTCATAATTTATAATCAAAATTCCTCACAAAACTCACTTTCTGAATTTTGATCTCAGTGCCTATCGCTGAATTTGATCAAACGTCACACATAAATGGAAAAGATATCCTTAAGCTTTGAGCACAAATCTGAACATAACAAGTACTGAATAGCCCCACCTCTGTAGATTCGCTATAACAACATGAGCAACAGCCAGAGGGAAAAAACTATAACATGGAAAAATTGTTTCTCACTTTGGATTTTTTATTGTGTGTGAATATTGGACGGAAACAATCATTCGAATTTCTCTTTGTCTATAATCAAAACGTAGTCAAAGCGTAGCTGCTACAGTAACTATGCTTTGACTGTAGATAGAGAGAAAACCGGACAGTTCTCTCCCTTTCGGTGTCCATACGCAATAATCTCTCCTCACTTTGAGGTTTCATTTGGAATAACTTTCTTGCTATTTTTTAAAATAATTTTTAATAAAATTATTTTAGTTCAAAAAAAAAATTGTACTTAAAAGCTGCTTTAAAAAGTAGTAAGAAAACTATCCCAAATCAAATCTAAGACTTCCTAATCTGAAAATAATCAATATAATGGAGTAAAAGTTTCAGAAAACTCATATTTACACCAAGAAAGAAAAGGACAGAAATGAAAAGAAGAAAATTACACAGCTCATTTTGGCCTGTTGGTTGGGAGCTTAAGCTGCCAACTAAGAGATATTGAGTTTGAATCTTGTATATGCAATATGTACGTGAGTATGTCTTAACTAACGCAAATGTCAAAAATAAAAATAAAAATAAGCAGAAAATTGAACTAACAGTTAATAATCGAATAACCACTCATAGCTTACATTTACAAATATAGGTATCCACCTACATTTGTCATTCAAACTGCAAATTAAGCATGGTCCACTCTATTCATAATTCATTATTTCTTTGTACTGATACCTTTGCCTCTAATAATGCTTGGATGAGACCAATAGTACGATGAAAAAGCAAACATATAAATATACTGGTCTGTTGGCACCCAAAGACATCCTAGTTAACAAGGAACAGCAGAAACAAGAGAGCTTAAGCCTTCGTCTATGACGGCTTTCTTATTACTTCTTAAAATAATTTTTTACTAATATTTATACTAAAAAGTTATTTTAAGAACCCGTTCCAAGCGAACCCTAAAGCCCTTAAAAGAAAGGGTATACTGTCTGCAAGTAAATGAGAACTTGGAACTGCAGTAATAGTCCATTCAGGAAGAAAATTAGAAATTTAGCTTAATGTAAATGCAGTCATGGTGCAACAACCTCTCTGTTTAAGTTCCAACAATAGTAAAATCACAGTGCATATAAATTCCCATGAAAAGCAACATATTACATCTTCCACAAAGTTACCATGGACATGGAAAATCTCACAGCAACACATTAGTCTCCAATCCTTCACAACAGATGCATATTTCAATCACTCAAAAAACTAAAACCTGAGCCTAATTAAACTTGCTATCTGATTGCAATGCATTCCCTTGCTGCTCCAGATAAGGTCTTATAAAAGTTCTCCTCCACCATACCTCAAAAGCTCTCTGAAGATTTGGACAGTTATCACCAACTTTCAGGAAGCTACCCAACCAAGAAAGCATCATAGTTTGCTGATCTTCCAATGGAAGAGTCAAAATGGTTCGACCGATTCCTTCTTCCACGACTTTGCAATCGAATGATCGACACCCGTGTTGCAACCAACTGTAGTCATCGATAAGTGGCTGTAACCAAACTTGCAAAAGCATCTGACGAGTGTCCTTCGATGGAAGCATCTCTCCTTTTCCAATGCCGACGAAGATCCTAGCAGTGATACGGCTAACGAGATGTCGTGACACAATTGGTAGTTTGCGATGTAATAAAGTCAGCTCTTCCTGGTTAGCCCAAATCACTACAAAGTCATCTGCTATATGCCTATCAGATAAAATCTCAACTAACCATAGGAGATTATCTGCTTCTAAAGATATCTGTTTTGTGATAGTTTCTTTCTTTAATAAATCCTTCTCTACAAAGCCAGGTTCAGATGCTTCTCTGAATAGAAGAAGAAGTGACTGTAAGCAGGTTTGGCAGGAATTATACAATGTTTCTGAACATATATCCGCGGATCCGCTCATCCACTGGTTATTTTCCTTCAGGAGTTTCAACACTAAAGATTTCATCTCGCGCCGACCCTTGTCTTCATTGCTTTTGAGTACAAGTTCCAATATGCGAGCAAGAGTATCATTGGGAGGGTTGGAAATATCCGAAGACACTCGTTTCAGGATTGGACTAATTCCATATTCATCAATTCCGAGACAACGAATAGATGATACGATGGTTTCTTCCTCATCTCCAACCCAGGGAACTGCTTCCAAGTAATCCAAGCAAGTCTTCACACACAAATGGAAGCCAAGTGCTTCAGCAACCTGCAAAAAGTTTACTTTTAATGCAATGACCAAAATCACTAGCCATATTCGACCAGTTGTAAACAGTAGGAAATGCAGAGAACAAACTCGAGTATGTCAGTCAAGTTTGTAACTAAGAAATTAGTTTGTAATATGTTTTAAAAGATAAACTTGAAAACCTTAGCGCCAATGCTGTGAAAAGCTTCCACTTTGCAGGGCTAGAAATTAGTTTTTTGAAACAAACTTTACTAGGCTTATTTTCAAATCCATAACATCTTTCTTTTTTTTTTTTTTTGTTAATGATAATCATATGAAATAAGCCCAACATATTCGAGGTTGGAACTTGATTTAAAGTACATGTACTTTTTCAAGCGAACTTCTACGTGCTGGTTCACCAAATCCACAAAGCATTCCAGTCTTCCTGAGTAATTATCTTCCCCCAAATGGCAAAATCCTGAATCTTTGGTCAGCGTTTCTGTAAAAACAGATTTGGAATGGGAAAAAATTGAATCCAAATAATTTAGGTTGGCCTAGTTTTGTTTTGATGAAACTGAAATTGATGGCCTGAATACATACATAAAATAAAAGACACGTACATACAAACACATAAAACAACAGAAGGTAAATAACTAGTGTTTACCAAGATTAAGGCTTCGTTTGGGACGACTTTTTTTATACTAAAAGGTTGTTTAAAGAAGCGACAAAAAAGTAGTTCCAAACAAAGCCTAAGGGACGGCTTTTTTACTGCTTCTTAAATCAACATTCATGTAAAAAATTTTAATTTTTATACTAAAAGCTGTTTTAAGAAGCAGTATGAAAGCTGTCCCAAACGAAGCCTAAATCTTGTGCCAAATTCAATTCTCCCTTTCCAATACTAATGAAAAAACTAAAGCAACTTCTAATGAGAAAAAAAATATAACTGTTAATTGAATGATATGATAATATTATTAAGAAAAAAATGTCAAAGTAGTCTTTGGACTAGTTGTGTGGAGCCATTTTAATCCTAGCTATCTAATGTGTTAATTTAGTCCTTTAACTCCTCTTACATGCTTCAAAATAGGATCTCTATTGGATTGTTTTGGACCGGAGAAGAGGAATCATGAGCTTATTTTGGATCATATTTGAGGATACAATGTACTAAACTGGACGCATCAGATTGTTTGGTACTAAAATGGCAGTAAAAGGACTATTTTGATATTTTCCACTATTACTAAGTGAGACCCCTTCAGAAAATAAGAGTAATAGTAAGTGCTTGAAACTGTACAAATAAAGAAATAGCATCTTAGACATGCATTTGCAACGTACAGCACAAATAAAGAAGTTCAATATTTGTAGTGCTGGAGCACAAAATGCTAAGGTGAGGTAGACAAACAAAGCTAAACAAGATATCTTGAAAAGATAACATTTTAATGTAAATTATGCAGATAAAAAATTTCCTTCCTAAAATATCTCTCTTTAAATATTTCATGTGAACTCCTTAATATTTTAAAATACCGGATTGAGAATTAACTTTAGTTTTATGGGAAGGGGAAAAATCTGAGATGTTTTGCATTATTCTTCAGAGTTTTAAGAAAACTTGATTATTGCAGATGGGTTTACTCCTAATCCATGTAAAGATCCATCAGTTAAATAGTCCAACTGAAGAGGTCCTTTGGCTTCCACTACAAAAAGAAGCCATCCATGGTAAAGCTAATGAAGGGTCAGTTGTTAAAGGTTTGAGAATTGTAGTATGTTTGGATGCTATAGCAAAGGTTGGGTATTGTATCAAATCAAGAACACCATTAGGGGTAGGCTTCAAGGTTTTCAGAGGGCGCGTAGTTCTCAGTCCCGCAAAGAGAAAGAACTTTGTGGCTGCAACAATGGCTTGCAACTTCCCTGAAATCGTGGATAGAAAGAAGAGGATGTTTGCCTTCTTATTGGACTATATCAAAGTGGTACCTCCATATTGGAGTAAGACTTCAAGCACTTATCTAAAAATTAAATTTTAAAGACTTTCTCAAACCATACAAAGCTATTAATTGCAGAGAGTGAACAAGAAAGCAGATAATTAGATGATAAAAAAGTGATGCATAACTGAAATATGATATAAAACCACTAAGCAGAAAAGGTTCATAGATTCCTGAATATACCTTAAGCATGCGGAGTACATGAGCAACGCTTAGCTTGATTAATCTCTGCTTAATTTCTTTACAATACATCAGTCCAATGGCCTCAACATATATCTCCACATCTTCACAGTCACCAATCTCAATGCAGATTACAGGAGACTGCTTGGCAAGCTTCTCTGCAAAGAAACTACTATGTTCTGCAAGAATGTTCCTGTGAACATTCATCCTCACAGCAATATTTTCCTTACCAGACAAAATAACCTTTAAATCACACGTATCAGGCTTACCGAAACCAACTGATATCTTTCTTTGTGGATGTGGATTCCCTGAATTTGTTTTTACTACTCTCTCAGGGGTCATAGCAGTATTTACACAATAAGTATTGGATGCTACACATTTTTGATCTTCTGAAGCTACCTGAGATTTTAACTGGTGAGCAAGTTGTCTCTTGTCTCCTTGTGGGTTTGTGGATTTCTGACCATTAAGTTTTCTCGGTGGTGAACTCTTCTGCTTGTTCTGGTTGTTTTGATGTTTAATAGTTCTTTGAAACACAACAGGCGCAGGGCAACACCAAAATCCTTCTGGAGTCACGGCAATGGGGACATTTCTGATCTTTGTTTGGCCGGGTTCAAGGCTTCTAACACGAAAATCTGCCATTCCTTAATTTATTTTGCATTCGAAAACATGCAATCTCAAGAAGATCTATGCTTATTGTACTATGTAGAAGTGCTGCTCAAAGTTGACATCATTAATCTGCAGAGAAGTACAGAAGATTCACAATCTAGCGAATGGCAGAGTGAACTCAAAGCAAGCAAAAAATGGAAGCTCAAGGAAGCCCAAATTAGCATTAAGGCAAGGCGCCAAACTAAATCCATCTAAGTTCGAGGTTCGAATAATAAATCAGATAGAAGTATGCAAGTTTCAGCATAAAAGGAGCATATTTTTATCAAAGAAACCAAGTTTTTTAATCCAGCGCAACTAAACAAACTGCTACAGAAGGAAAGAAAAATCTAGGAACAGATGAAGTGGAAAGCTTCCATCTCTGAAATCCATAAACATAATCACACAAAAATGAATGAAAAAGAATCATATCTGACGAATAAAAAACTTGTGTACTACTGGAAAACCAAGCATACCAAGCAAAACCACAGGTTCAAAACCAATGAACTGCAAGAATTAGGAAAATCCATTCAAAAATTGGAAGCCAAAATCTTTAAAAACCGGGACCAAAGTCTCAAACAACAAGATGACCAACCTCAGCACTACCTTCAAGCCCTTCTATGCCTCTATTGACGAACCTATTTATCTTTTTCAACACATCTCCCTCTTCTGTGCTTGGTCTCTAATGATGGAATCGAGCTCTAATGCCAAGCATGGAGGAAACAGGAGAGGAAGGCATTGCAGACGGCAATGATGTGTATTTGTATCCATAGCCATCTAATTTAAACGGGGAAGAAAGGAAATCAAAAGAGTGAAGGGAGAATCCCACGGCAGGCGCGACTTCCTTTCGCTTTACCAGATGGGGATGTCTCTGCTTTTTCCATCCGAGATATTCGAAGCCATCATCGTCTCTGTGTCTCTCTCTCTTGAGCTTTTTCTCCTCTTTTTCCCTCTCTCTATTCCTCTCTCTCTCTCTCTGATCTCTTCTACTTGAGCCTAGTGAGCTCAGTCACAGGGAAGATCCTCTGTCATCAGATGGTGGAATACCTAAACCACCCTGCTTAGATTTGCAATTTGATTTGCATTTCAGTTCCAAAAAATTATGGTTTGGATTTTTGGTACAATGACAAATTTATGATAAATTATTTTATGCGGACGTCGGAGGCCTTTCGAATCAGGTGCAGTCACGTTAGCGGAATCGAGCGGTACCGAATAATATCGAGCTACTGTGTCGAGCGAAGGAGTGATATGACAAATTCTGATTGGTCACCAAACAACATTCATCATCTGACATAATAATTTTTCCATTGGATAGGACCGATAAATGTAGATTAAAATAAACTTCCTAAAAAAAAATTGTGACCACTAAAAATTTTCTCATATAAAATAATTATTAAGACCTTTTACTTATTCTATTTCTGGTAATGCTCTCAAAGAAATATCAATTTGTTCAATTTCTTCCACTAAATTTCATATTAACAGACTTTATCTTTATTCTTATATTAATTTACTGATATTTCAATTTTTTAATAATTATTTTTGCAACAATTTATTCTTTTAATATTTAAAAATGTACTGCCCTAATAAGTTATTGCTAATTTTAAAAATAATCCTTTAACCTAAAAAATATATTCCATTTAATACTTAAAGAAAAAATTAATAGGACAAATATAAGAAATTTTTATTTTAGATTTAAGATAAAACAATCTTAATAGGTGAAATTAAACTAACTCTTCTGTGAAATATTTACTCAAAAATCAATCTTAAAATTAAAATGCATGAAAAATATTTATTTTTACTATTGACTACAAATATAAAGTTATGTGGTGATTTTATAATGTTGATTTTATTACCTATAATAAAAGTTTAATTTGTACATACGCATTTTTTTATGATTTTATAATAAAATAAAATGACTGATAAAGTGGATCATAATTATGATATTTTATATGTGACTACGCAAATTTGTTTTATAATACAAGAAAAAAATTTAATATGAGCATAATCAAATATAAATTATCAATAATGTTGTTGTCATTGGTTTATAACTCATTTGTTCATTCTTGTTCAATGACATAATTTAAGAAAATTACATATTTGCACAACTTTTCGCTACCAAAAAATAGTATTTTTCGCATCACTTTTTTCTAGCGGTTTTGAAACGCAAAAATAATTCTTTAGCACCGATTTTAACCGGTCCAATTAACACCCCGAAATCGTACCTGTCACTTAAACTACCCAAATCCCTAATTCCCCTATTTCATGACATATACTCTCCCGCGAGGTCGCAATCCAACTTTTGGAGCAAACGCCAAGCGACATCGGGCACGGCTCTTATCCTCAAGCGAAGTCGGGCACAACTCTTCTCCTCAGGCGAATCTCAGCAAGACGGACATTCCTCACTGTGAATATCTATCCCTCCTTCTTTATATTCGTCTTCCTCTTCTTCTCATTCTTCTTCTTGTTTCTTTACATAATAATTTTCTATGAACTATGGGATGGTTGAGGTGTAATATGAACCATTGGTGTAATTCCAATTACTTTTCTGTAATGTGCTTAAAATTGATTTTGATGTGCAAAGGCATGCTTGTAATTTTTTTTTTAATTTGCAGAACTGCAGTGGTTATTGCCGCTGCTATAGACTCATAGTAAAAGTTTAGCAGTGATTATAACCGCTGCTAAAGATCCATTCCCAATTTACAAGTGTAAAATCGTAGCGGTTATAACTGCTGCTAAAACTACCTCTAAGGCAACGGCTTAAATAGCGTTGTGGAAGACGTTTGCAGCGATAACAAATACGATGAATGTGTAGGTGTTTTAACCGCTGCTGTAGGGTAGAAAAAGTGCTGCGAAAGCCTATTTTATTAGCAGTGAATTTAATGACTTTGTCTCTAACCTCTTGCCTTTTTTGCATTCTAAAATTTTGTTGAGATAAAGAGTGAGAGTTTAACATTATAGAATTGTACGAAGATTCAACCCATATAAATAATGGGGGATTGAGGATCATAATTAAAAAATAGTTGTTGAGAGACCATTGTGGGGTGATAATGTAACATTAAATGGTAGGCCAAAGTCCAGCAATAGTGGTTGAAGAACCATACTTGATGATGATATTTAGAGGATCATAATCATATAATAGTGCCAAAGTATTATAGTCAAGCAACGATGGTCGAAAGACTATAGTCGGGCAATGATGATTGAGAGATCTTAGTTAGGTGTTTGTGATTTCGAGACTGTTGTTAGGACATGGAGGTCAAATGATTGTAGTTGAACGATAATTGTCAAAGAACATAGTAATGACAGTCGAATTGTCACTACCCAACCTGATCGGAACGAATCCCATCACGTTGAGCGCGACGGATGAAGCCAGGATCTAGCTTTGAAATTTGCTTTCAGATTTTCTTCCAATAATCAGACATACAGAAAACACAGAGCTGCTATAAACATCCAAATATACAGAAAAGCTCATCCATGATTTTTCTTTTTTCTTTCATCAAAATAATCATATACATTACAGTGCATGGCTACAAGCAGAAGGTATATAATAGAAAAGCATAATAGCCATGATCGTACAAAAATCAAAAGTATAAAAATACCTAATCTCAGATCATATACGGAACGGCTAGTCCAAAACCTCTTTTCCTTTCCTAGAACCTGAAAACCATGAAGATAACCACAGTGAGCTAACATCTCAGCAAGACTACACTAGCCGATCAAAACCTCTAGAAACTCTCATATCAAAATACTCATAAAAGCGTTAAAATATTTTATTCAAATAGCTGTACTGAATTCAGATACTCGTACAGAAATCAGAATATTAAACAGAGTTCAGAGATTCATACAGAACATGAATCAAACAAAATACAACTATTCGTACAGAATGGATAATCAAACGGACTTCAGATATTTACACAAAACAGATAAACAGATAGACATCAAATAACATATACAAAAGAATCAAACCAAATTCTTATCACAGAATCGTATAAATCACAAATCACATATCATAGCACATATCCTTGACCCGGATAGAATCTCAAAGGATTCTGGCCCTTTATGCCTCCCTTCCCTGACACAGACAGAATCTCAACTGATTCTTGCCCCTTATGCCTCCCTTTGTGCTTACAGCACTAGAATATATCGGATATACAGAATTATCAGATCAGAATTCATTTTCATATTCCCGAGCCCAGACATAATCTCAAAGGATTCTGACCCCTTATAACTCCCTTCTGATATCATGCAAATCACATCAAACATCAAATCATATCAAATTCAGGGAAATCAAATTCGTATCAGAATATCGTCGTAGAGTATGACGGCAGACAACAGAAATTCAACAGATCAAATTCACAGTTTCAGAAAATTACCAAATTGTTAGATATCATATAAAACATCATTTCAAAGCTTTTATTGTACTGAAGTAATATTTTTCAACATCCAGATAATTTTCTATTCGATAAAAACTCCGCAGAATTCAAAATACCCAGTGAAAAACTTTAAGAAAATACTCAAATCGTGCAAAAACATGATCTAGAAACATACCAAAAGTTACGCGGAAAAAGTTTTACCGGTGCGAAGTTATACCCATTTTTCATTAATGGAAAACGAATTTGAAATAGAAAATCCGTCAAAAATCACATTTCTGAAAATTGATAAAGGCATAATGTGTCTTATCTCAAGTCGATTAACTTTCCTAACTGCGACGACGGACGAAAACGGACCAAAGACGCCCAAAATACAAATTTCCTTCTTCTTCCTTCATTCTCTCTCTCTCTTGCTTTCTCTCTCTTCAAAAATATCTCAACATATCTATTTAATGAACACGATCATCCAGATGATGCTCTTCGTTCGTTCTGAGATGATCTCCTATGGACACGGATCGTACAGACGAAAATTAATTCCAATTTCTTTCATCCCTGGACGATGCTCTCGTGAAAAATTTCGTCCCAACGGTTCGTCCCGACGAACTCAGGTTCGTACAGACGAACTTGCACTTTACTCAGTTTGTACTGACAGTTCGTCCGTACTAACCATACAGATTTTCAACATTTTCTTCAGTTCGTACTAACGGTTCGTCCGTACTAACAGCACAATTTTTTTTTTTCAAAATAACTTAAGAGTTTAAGGGTTTCACACGAATGATCATAGTCAAGCAACAATAGTCGGTGGTTCAGTGATGGTGATCAGAAGATGAAGGTTCAATGATTGATCAAATGGCATTAGTAGGACAAGAGTGGCCAAAATGTTGTGGTTCAATGTTGGTGGTTAGATGATGGTGGTCTGATAGCAATGGTTGGAGTGCTGAACTCTCTCTATTTTTAAGTCAAGATCCAAGCTCCCCTTCACCCTTCACGTAAAGAATAAGTGTTTATTTATAAATCTCAACAATTGCATTATTCATAAATATACTCAAAATCCAAAACACAAAATTGAATGGCTCATATAGATAATCTTGATCATTTAACAATCTTTATGTATTTAAGTGACTAAATGATATGAGAATTAAGCAATCCTAGGCTCGATAGATTGTTCTCATTATGATGATCGGTTTGATTAGAATCATGTAAGATTTGGAGATTATTTGATTATTCGATTAATGCCCCAAAGTTCTTAACTATGCTTCCAACATTTAATTTAGGCTCATTTGGAGTCAAATTGGGTCGTCTTTAGTGTCAATGAGTTTGTTTTGTAGAGAAGTCACTTCAACTATAATTTTATTGGAATTAGAGTTTGGATGAATTTTAATTTGATTTTGAACATTTTAATTTAAATCTTATCTCAAAATTCACATATGATCATATGATTTTTTTGATAATGTATCACATTTGTTTTTATACTATTGATATATATAAATCAATTAAATTTTTTTGGTCAATTGATGCATTTAAAGTATTAATTGTTAAACCCAAAAGTCTCTCATGTTCAATAAAATGTTAGTTGCCATTGAAATGTGCATCTTCAGTGTATTAGGGTTTAGAGTTTAGGGTTTAGATTTTAGGGTTTAAGGTTTAGGGATGCAAGCAATCAAGAGAAAAATTGGTTAAAAATATTCTGATCAAATGTTTGTCCAA